CCATCACTAACAGTCCTCATCAAAATGATTGCAGGAAGTTCCTAAGTCTTCCCTTTTTTGACTCTCGCCTTCCAATGCTCCATTCGCAGCTCAATGTTTTATATTATTTTTCCTAAGTAGGTAGTGGTTATTGGAGAGTCAGCCCAAATCCTGTCTCTGTTATGTTTCAAATACACGACCTTAGGCAAGTTACTTACATTCCCAGGGAGCTCAGTTCCCTTGAAATGTGTTTATTAGCATTACTTTCCTATGAGTTGGAAAATTTATCTGACTTAAATATGTATAAAGTGCTAAGAGAAATACATTGCACACACCAATTATTGTATAAGGTTCTTTAGCTCATTGATAGTATTAGTAAAATATAAGTAGGATCTGATCACTCTTCTATTCATATGCCCTATACACACACACATAAACACACACACGTAAGAGTGGCTTTGAGACAATTATGGCTCATATGGACTCTATATTTGAGAGTAGAACTGTCCTATAGGATTTGTTTCTTTTTTCCCTATATTGATTTTTTAGGCTGTTTTACAAGAGTAAGTTGCCACACCTTTACCCTGTGGAGTGCCTCCAAACTAAACTCACTGCATCCAGTTGATGCTGACTCATAGCAACCCAAAAGGACAAGGCAGAATGCCCCCGTGGGCTTCAGAGCCTGGCATGCTAAGGGAGGAAAAAGTCCTGACATTCTCCATTGGAGCAGCTGGTGGTGGTTTCTAACTGCTGACCTTGCAGGTAGCCACCCAACACATCACCACTGTATCACCTGGGCTCCTTCCTAGTGGGTTCCAATACTGACCTTTTGTTTGGCACACATGCTCATAACTACTGTGCTGCCATTGATTCAAGTTTAGAAACTCTATAATGACATCCCAATCCAATCAGTGTTTACAAACACCTGATGTGTTTATAAACACAGTGAGTTGCACCATCTCACCTCCCACTGCTTCTGGATCTTCTTGGCCTATTTATGTTCTGTCAGGATGACTTCCTTGATGTTGTTTTACAAAATCAGCCGCACCCAAGCCTCAGGGGCTTTGTATTTCCTTCCCAACTGTCCTGGATGTTTTCCCTCAAAGATCTATGGAGGGGGGCTCCCACCACCTGTAGATCTTTCTCACAGACTACCTGCTTAGTGAAATCTTCACTACTTAACATCACCTCCCTCCCCAACCTTGTGCCATTGTCTCTTCTCTTCAGCATTCTTTTTCATTCTTGGGTCACTTACTTCCCATCTGCGATATTAACAGTCCTGAAGAGAGGATAGTCCTCTGGGGCAGGTTTTCCAGTGTGGTCTTCAAACAGGAAAACAGGTGATCTCCCAACCTCAACGCCAATTTGCTGAATACCGTGCTCATTGTAGATAGACAAAAGGAAAGACTGAATCCCCTTTTTGGGTTTTACTGTAAATAATATTGAAAAATCTTCTGGGAAAGGTCCACCTGAGAAAAGAAGGCAAAGAGACATAAATTAAGAAGTTTCCCATAATTTCTGGATCACGTTATCATCCTTTGATTTTTTTCTCTGCACCTTTATTAAGCCATCTAAGCTCAAATAGTAATAACAGTGTAGATTAAAGAACACAGGGTGGGGAAGGGTTATTAAGCTATATCTGCAATATTGATTGACACTATATCCAAAGATTAAAGTCACTAATTCAAATCACACAATAAAGTGTAACTGAATTAAAACTTAGGACACAAAATCATGGCACCAGTAAAATATCAAAGAGTATAGTAAGCACCCTCAAAAGAGTTGTTCAAGTACCATTGTTAGTGTACAGTTTTTATTGCCACCTTTATCTCATTTTGACCATGCACCCTTGTCCATATGACTTTAAGAGACCGTGCGTGAAGTCACTCGTTCAGGCATGCCGTAGAAACCTAGCATTCTTTAGCAGTCTTTCTTATCGTGAAATGCAAGTTCAGCAAGAGGAAGCATCAACTTAAAAGAAAAGTCACTGCCATTGAGTCTCATTTATATCGACCCGATAGGATAGAAGAAAACAACCCTTTTGGGTTTTCAGGGCTACAAATCCTTAAGGAGTAGAAATCAATCAGAACTACGAGGTATTTGACTATGTAGTTCAAGAAAGCAAACTTTGTTCTCTCTTCCTTGTCACCGTGACATCCAAAATATCCAGCCTGTCCATAACATAGTGCCTGATCTACATAGACACTACATTAGTACTTATGAGGTAAATAAATCAATTAAACTATTACTATACTTACAGTCAGATAACAAAATAATGACTACTTAGAAAACATTAATTAAAACACTGTATATTAAATCACAGGCTTTATACAAGTGGCTTCAAAAAGTTCATGGAAAAACCCATGTTTTCTTAATTCCATATTTCTACAAAATTTTTGAAGGTGTGTGTGTGTGTGTGTGTGTGTGTGTGTGAATTGAGGCTTTATCTACTCTGGCATGAGTTAAGGAGGTACTTTTTAAGGTATAAGTTTATTAAATTAAAATTTCATTCTGCAAAAATTCTGAAATACATGTGCTTATATAATCAACAATATATAGACCAACATCAAAAAAAATTTATTTGATCTAGTTATTCCAAATTCAATTACAAAACCCCAAATCCCACTGCATTGAGTTGATTCTATCTAATAGATAACCCTCTATACTATATACAGCGGTTCTCAACCTGTGGGTCACGACCCCTTTGGGGGTCAAATGACCCTTTCACAGGGGTCGCCTAAGACCATCAGAAAACACATGTTTCTGATCATCTTAGGAACCGAGACACGGCTCCTCTATCCATCTCCAGACGGGTCCGCCCACATGCTGATATACCCACGTACCAGTACCTGGCATGAAGAGTGTTACCCATGTTACACCATGCTTCAAGACAAAATTTCATTTATTTGTAATTAGAAATAAATACTTCACAATATAGAATTGCATATTGTTTTTGTGATTCATCACTGTGCTTTAATTATGTTCAATTTGTAACAATGAAAATACATCCTGTATATCAGATATTTATATTATGATTCATAACAGTAGCAAAATTACAGTTATGAAGTAGCAGCGAAAATAATGTGATGGTTGGGGGTCACACAAGCTGAGGAACCGTGAGGAAGGTTGAGCACCACTGCTCTCGCGGGTTTCCGAGGCTGCATGTCTTCACAGAGTAGTCAGCCTCAGCTTTTTCCTGCAGAGTAGCTGGTAGGTTTGAACTGTTTACTTGTGGAAACAATGCAATGCTTCCCACCAGCACCACTAAGGAATCTTGAGTTCAGTTATAGACAAAAGTATAAAATTATAAGCAAATAATTCACAAATCATACAATTCAATAATTCAAGCACATCAAGAAGAGTTGTTCAATCATCACCACAATCAGTTTTAGAACATTTTCTTCATTGTTGTACTCATCGTTAATAGCTCCCCATTTTCCCCTAACTTCACCTGCCATACCCTCAAGGGGACATTAACCCAATTACAGTCTTTATCGATTTACCTATCCTGAATTTCATATACAGAAAATAATTTTTAAAACAAACAAATCAATAAAAAAAAACACATAAAGCTGTTGAAAAAACTTGGGGGGTGTGGGGTAGTGGGGGAAAACTATATCTGGACAAAATTTTGCCTATTATTACTGACACAATTTTAAACTTGATAATTCTATATACTTAAAAATATACAAAATTATAATAATATGG